GGGTCAGGGGGTTCATGCAGAGCCCACCATGCAGCGTTGGGCAGTGGAGGGCAGCAGGGATCACCCCCAACCCAGCAGCACCTGCTGAGCCGGGGCTTTTGTTTTAGCAAGTGCTGGGAGCTGCGGTGGGGGGAAGGAGGGGCAGCCATTGCTGGGCTGGGAGAGGGGCCGAGGATGGGCCTGGCTGCTGCCAGATCTCCAAATCGGATTCAGCCGAATCAAATCGGGACGGTGATTTGAATCACCAAATCAAATCACTGCCCCCCAAATCGGCCGAACCCGAAGCGAATACTAGCCGCTTTGCACAGGCCTAGTGGCTACCATGGCTACCACTGAAGATATTCTGGAAAAGAAATTCTCTTTGCTTTGAATTCTGTTGGGATTAATAATAACTCTTCCTTTCCTTCTCTTAGGAACATCATCCATGGCAGTGATTCTGCAGAAAGCGCGGAGACAGAGATCAACCTGTGGTTCACTCCTGAGGAACTGGTTGATTACACAAGCTGTGCTCATCAATGGATTCATGATTAAAAGTTAGCCTGTGACTTTTAACGTCCCTTCACTCCAATAATTATAGATCCAGAAGCCATTTGTAATACCTTCAGTCATTTCAAAGTATTCCCATATAAACCGTTGGAAATTTCTCTCTCATCTACCTTGTGAATATTAAGGGTAATCAATGTTAACTGCTGCTGCTCTGATTAAAAAGCTATTGACTTATTGATTGGGTTATACTTGCAAAGCTTTTTGCTTGTGTTTGGGTGAGCGAGGGGGGAAGATATAATAGGGAAAAAGGCAACCATTCTCTGCCAGTGACATCAGGTACAATCCATACCAAAATACCCTGTATCCAAAGAGAATACATTGGAACATGGAAATGCTTACAATCCAAAAAGGGCCTGGAGATTTGTTATTAAAATTCCAGGACAGAATTGGTCTCATGTAAAATGATCTGTAATAGTCCTAAAACATGGGGAATAGAGAATTAGATCCTTTCCCAGTTTTTTTTTTTTTTGCACAATGAGAGAAGCTTTCCCAGAGGTTTCTTTCTCTCCAAAAGAGCAATGCAGTTGCCAATTGCCTCAATGGCATCTTCACCAAGAATAAGTGGTTTCATTAAACCACTTTTGCTAACTTATAAGTGTTCACAGCATTTGAAGGTGGGCTTAGTCTGGCAGCTTTTATAAAACATCATTTTCGGAGGGCTGTTCCATGGGCTCCAGTGCCCCTCATCTCTCTAGGGCATTGCCATTTGATGCTGGTTGGGAAAACAGACCATCACTAGGCTGTACTTCTTTGTGTAAGCAATTGTGACAAGTCATATTTTGTCCTTGGTTGCTTGAGCTGCAAAGCCGGCTGTGCTTAGATAAGATTTTTCAGAGGTGACTTTGGCACTGAGGTGGCCATATCATTGAAAGTCAAGGTGGTTTTTAAAACTGTACTCTTTATATTTAAACTTTTACACAATTGATTATTCTCTTTTAAAACTGCCTTGCTCTTAGCACAGCTCTCTAGCTCTATGCAGAAACCTTGCAGCTTTAGGCAGAGCTGATATGGCTGTAAGGAATGCCCACCTGCAGTTCATTTTGAATATACTAGTGGCCTTGCTACACTGTTAAGATACTTGATGGGATTAAAATCTGCTTGTTGTGTTTTAACACGATTGTAACAGATGAATGCTGTCAAATTTAGATTGCAAACTTAAGAATGAAAAATAGTCCTTTTACAGGCTTACCCCGACTTCTTCCAGAGTTTGTGGCAATGAGGTCTGTAACAGGCCCCTGCCCGGCTTACGTCAGCGCTGCAGCTCAGGTGGCCAGGCCATGAATGACGCAGCTGGCATTCTGTGGCCGGATGGCCTGCTCCCCACCGGCGCTGGGTCCAGAGGCCATGTGTTTAAAACCAGCCTGGAGACTGGGAGGAAGGCAGGATGCGTCGGGATGCTGGAGATGGAGCCGGACAGACTCCCTGACCCCAGATGCAACCCGATGCTTCCCCTGCCAGTCAGCAAGCCCAGGAAAACAGCACATGCATGCCTCAGTCAGGAGGCAGCTGGGAAAAACCTGGGTGCAGCTCCTACAGCCATCTGGGAGTCAGCTTCACGCACCAGGAGTGAGAGATCCGAACTAAGCCAGAGGAGCCTGTCAACCCGCAGGGGATTGAAGCCCAGGGGTAGCACCAAGCCTCTCAGCTGTGCTCACAGACAGCCTGGCAGGCCAATGAGCTTGACCACTGTTGCAGTGGAAGGGTTGCCCGGAGAACTAGTGGTCAGGTGGGGATGGGAGAGTGCAGCCCAGCGGGCTCTGTGGGCACCCAACTAGGGTGAGCCCTGGAGGGACACCCCACAAATCCCACATACCCCCACAGTGTAGCTGCATTCACGAAGTGTGCCAATGGGGAACAGCTGTGATATTTGGCCCTGCACAGGCCCAACAGGGAACACCCTGGGGCCCTGGTACACTTGGCCTACTGGCCGACCAGGAAGGACTCAAGGAAAAAGGGCCAAGTAGCCCAAAAGAGATAAAGGGTCAGGAGAGAAGCTCGGCATAGGGGGCAACGGTGCCCTGCCCACCACTCAGACGGAGCTCTTTTAAGTTAAGTTCTTCTTGTGTTGACATTTTTCTTGGAGAGTGGCAGTCGTGGGGAGATCCCTGTGGCTCCTATGCTCTGTCAAGCTGTTACATGAGAAGTGACCTACAACAATGGCAAGGTGTGGCCTAGATCTACAGTAACACCCAAGTGGAAAGGGGTGGGGTGTAGAGGATGAGGAGCCCCACAGAAGACGCAACAAGGAAGGCATTCCTGAGCCCATGTAGAAACCACTGAGAAAAACCCCGAGGTACTGGGAACAATAAAGTCGTGGCAGGTGAGTAGGCTCAGGTATGGTCCACCCTAGGTGGCAGGGCAAGGGCCTGGTCACAGGTCTTATGACTGAAAAGAGAATGGTAGTGGGAGAGCTTAACATGACCGAGCTTTGAGGATGAAGGAGAACCAAAAGGAAGTCGAATCTTGTCCTTGTCTGGCCTGGGTCATTATGGTAAGTGATCAGTCAGTAGTATTGATCAGTAGTGGGAGAGAAGTAGGAGAACTAAAAACACAACAGAAAATGCAATGATGGAACTGTTCCTTTTACTAATTTGGCGATAACTCTGCATTTGATAAAGCTTTGAGAAAGTCAGCTAAACCTGTGAGAAATGAGGATTTTTTTTAACTGTTTAGCTGTCAGTCATTAGCTCCTTCCTTCAGACTGTTCCCTTAATTCTAGAGAGCATGGACAACGTCAGATGGACAGTGTCACTCATCCTGATCTTATAATCACACAGGCTGTAAAAATGACCTTGACATTACACACTCAAAGTAAATAATCTCAGACCTTAAAAAAAAAATTCTCGGAAGAAGGCCTTCATGCTCTCCAGGTGATATTGAGAGACAATTACTCCTATATATATATTAGTAAAAGTAGGATTATCTTAAATATTTGCCTCCATTGACTTAGTTAAATATTCCTCATATTTTTACACAAAAGAAAGATGGCTCAGGCAAGCTACTCAAACACAAAAGACAACAAAAAGGAAATGAGCACTTCTCTTCTCTTTCTCACTCTTACTTGGCTGTCACTTTGTCCCTTCACTTTACTAATCCAGGGTTTGGTTTGGTTTGTGTTTTTTCTTTTTAGGAGATTGTTGGCTTTAGAACTTCATCCTTTATCACTTGGTCCTGGATTTTTCTCCTCTCCAAAGGTTTCCATTAGGTGGCCTGCTGCGGTTAATATTCAGCTTGCTCATGTCTCTTGCACCTAATTGCCGTTCTATCTCTGTTTTCTCTCTCTGGCTCTCCGGCATTCTGCGGATAGCTTAAGAGCAGGAGAAAAGGGTGGGGAGGAGGAGAATCATTCCAGGTGTACTCTACAGCTGCAGAACTCACACATTATTACCATTCCTCACAAGGGCACCTATATGCACCTTTATACACAAACACAAATTATTCAAACTGAACAGAGAAGTAAGTGTGAGTATCCAGTTAAAAACAAACCAACCCAACATGAGTAAGCCTATATCTGTCCTTTTATAAGAGACTGGTAGCAATCCAGTTTCTCTGCCTTCTTTTAGTTGCATATCATATGGGAACATTGATCAGTAGGGAAAGACTCAGGTGGCTTGGTCATGTCAAGTGAATGCCGCATCACTGGACCCCAGAGAATGTGCTGTATTCTGAAGCTCGCAACGGGTCTAGAAAGAGAGGCAGACCGCTATGCAGATTTTGGGTTGCTTGCAAAGATGACTTAGCATCCTTTGGCATCTCTGTGGATGATCCGGAAAGGAGTGCAGAATGCCGCTGTGGTTGGCGAAGTCAGCTTGCAGATGGAGTGAGGCACTGCGAGGCAGAGTGGATCAAGTTTTGTGATGAAACTCAGAGGAGGAAAGAATCAGCGGCTTGGATTCAGAGCACTGCTAGTGTGTGGGTGTGCCCTGCCTGCGTGCATCAGACTCAGCAGTCATCAAAGAACTCATCTGGTGCATATACCATGCTCTGTACAGAACGGTGGTGCCAGGTGTATATCAGCTTAAGAAAAGTCAGTACAAGTCTGAAAAAAAGAAAGATCAATTTGTTTAAATTAGCAGTGGCTTTCTTATGAGCTTCTCTGTGATACCATATTATGGCATGCTCAAAAAAGAAAAAGAAAAACAAACTCTCACCCCCCGAAGGACAGTGTTACTCTGAAGCTGTAATGCAAATAAGCAAGGAAATGGGAGGGAGACAAAAATCAAGGACAGCTAATTTGGAAGGCAAATTTCTGAAGGAACACAAGCATCAGCACAAATCTGCAGACTGAAAATACTTTTTTTCAGAAAATCAGGAGTGAGTGAATGATGAGTCTTAACATATTTTGCATGTCTGTATATGCTGCGGGATCTCAAAGCACTTTACAAACAATGAATTAATAATAAGCTATACTTATGTAGCTTTTTAAATCCCAAAGTCACAAAACATATTTTAAAAAGTGAGTATTGTCATCCCCATTTTACTAATGAGGAAAATGAGGTAGAAAGAAGTTAGGCCCAAATCCACAGAAAAGATTTGGACGTAGCTTTTGCAGTGATGAACACTGCAATCTTTTAGGCACCTGGAATCCATAATATGGATGTAGGTAGGTGTATACACTTCTTATACAATGTAGTGGGAGAATTAGGCACCTCGGAGTGGGATCCAAGAGGCACAACAGGCAGAACAGGAACTCGATGTTAACTATCTAAGAGGAAAAAACAAAGACAGGCAGGTGTTTTAAATATGACCCCTTTGTTCTTATCTGAATCTAAATGACTTGCATAAAGTCGTACAGTGAACTACTGACAAAATCCGGAAACGAATCAAAGTCTTGACCCTCAGTTCCTTATTTAAAAGTTCATCCACTGTAATCTAATCATAGAATCATAGCATTAAAAGGGAACTCGTGGGTCATCTAATCTAATGCTTGCAGAAATGTAGGATATTAAGGCACAGAGATATGTACACACAATATAATGAAACTCTATTGGGGTCAAACGTTATTAGATTATACAGGTAAGCTTGGACAGGAAGGTTTGTAGGAACGAATTTCGAAGAGAACTTTGGATCTGATGCATCCAGAGAAGGAGACGTTATCAGGGAACTTCTGAATTACCGTTACTGTGCCTGTGCGCAAAAATGAATGAGAGGGGAGATCAGCC